AAAAAGTTTTTAAAAAAAAACAAGACCTATAATATTTTGGCTTTATTAAAAGACATAACACTTTTACAATAACCACACTAGAAGGAAAAGTTGAAAGCAAATGAGCATAAGGCAGGCAGAGATACAAGTGGAAGGATATAAGAATAAACTCCACAGGGGAGCAAGTACAGCAGGGATCTACCAATCATCAGTAGAAGTAATCTCTCGTCGACAAACGTTTCGGCCCACGAGCTCCTAGGCGTTTTCAGAGAGTGGGCCCACCTGAGTTCATGAAGCTCAGGGTTGGTTTCCCTGCTGCACGAAATTACCGGACGGTGTTCGGATAGGGACAAGACGACTTGGTATTTTGCAGAAGGTACTGTGAGATAAGAAGTCGTCACGGTAGCATAATTAGAGCAGTCTGCGTACCTGGACGACCGAGCAACAAGCTTACGATTGGTATACCGGACACATGTTGGACTTTTGTTAGCAGGTGGCAGAGGGACAATGGCAGACAATTCGGACACGATGGACTATCAAGGGATGAGAAACTCTTTTCCACTAGACACCCAGACCAGCTCACCGAGGCCCGTCCCCTACGTTGTTCCGTTGCGTCCAAAGCCAGCTCGAGGCCCTCTCAGCAACCTCGCCCAACTGTTTAGGTGTCCGTTTCCGTTCATTACCGCGCAATCCTAGTTCTTTAACCACATTGTAGAGTGAAGTGGAGACGAGACCTCTCGCTCCAACTTCGACGGCAAAGACACATACTGTGTACGCCTCGTCTCTTCTCAGACCGGCTGCTAAATCACTGTATTTCTCGAGCTTATACATGTGATTTTCGTCCATACGCGACTCATACGGGACGGTCACCTCAATCAGGATGAGCTGCCGTTTCTACGCAGAGTGGAGAACTATGTCAGGTCGCAGGCCGGTCTTCCGGATTGACTCAGGGTACCTTTCATGGCCCGGCAGATCAACCGCCAGTAACCAGTCCCTCGCATAGTCTAGCATAGATGGAGCGAATGCGCCTCGGTTGATCTTACCTTTTTGAATCTGCCCAGGCTTGAGGAAACATATGGGGATGACGGTAGGACTGGCTCTCGCGTTAGCCCGCATCCTAGCCTGTCAACAACGGCTGCTAACTCTTTTAGCACCTTGTTGTGTCGCCAGGTATATCGGCCTTGACCTAGGGCTTTCCTGCATGCGGACAGAACGTGTTCTAGCGTCTGCTTCGCTTTGCACAGCGGGCAAGTCAGATCGTTAGTCGCAAACCATTTAACCATGTTAACATCGGACGATAATACATTGTACGCCGAACGAACGATAAAGCTCAGTCGCAGCGGGGTCATTCGCTAGATCTCACCCCATGCAATGCGCTCTCCAGGCTGACCCAATGGCCCTACTGCGACTGTTGGGCTGCTTTCTGGACCCGAACCTCGTTTTCGTTGTCCCTAACTTGTTGTATCACCATGTCTCGGCGTTCTTTGGCTGTGGCTTTGGACCACCAATTGACCTTTCCGTGACCTAGGCCTCGACGGTCGGTTTGAATATATCCCATTATCTCCTTCAATTTTAGTGCATTCTGGGCAGTTTCTATCGCATCGAGGACACTCCACTTCTGGCCAGTCTTTAGAGCGGGCTGGACAGCGATGACATTTGGGTCTGAAGACTCGCGCAAGAGCATGGCGAGTCTTACCTTGCTGACTTTAAACTCTTCGGTTATTGATTTGAACGGGAGTACCAGCTTGGCCTGCTTACAATACTTGAGTTTAGTAACATATTCCTGTTATTACACCTATGGACATGAAACTGTGGCCTTTACTTGTACTATTAGATTTGAATATGTTGTTCTGTCTCTTGTTTCTTTCTTCATGATTTTTTAATGTTCGATCTGTCTCTCTGGCTATGTAATTTTAGCTCTCTCCTTCTGCTCCCCCTCCTCTCTTTTTCCTTTATTTTTCTCATAAAAATTTTTTTTTTTAAATTTTTTCCCCAGGTTATTCTCCAGTGTTACTCTGCCATCTTTTGTTACCCGACCAGTTCTGAAGATTCCAAGCAAACTCAAGGAATTTGTGAAGTCCTCCAGAGAGGAGATTGAAAGCAGATTAAAAAGTGATAAGAAACTTGTATGTGCATTTTTTCATTTCCTTCCATCTACCTTGTTTTGAAACATTGGTATTACTGTTATTACAGTTATTATTTTGACAACAAAATGAAGAATTTTACTTTGTTGATTAGTATTAGAATAAAGAGAAATTAAAATGTCAGAAACCTAAAAAATCCAGTGTTGTATCTCATTGCAACATACTTGGAAATAGATGAAACATTGGTGAGGACAAGTGGAAGACTACCAGATATAATATTGACATCACCTATGATTAGATCAAGAAGTTTATAAGGAGCTCTAATTGAACCCGACTGAGATCTGAACATGCAGGCCACCAGACAGGGTATGTATACTACCAACTCCATATTACCAGTGGGAACCAATAGCAATCTTCAGACTCTCTCATGACATTTCAAGCTGAAATACTGCTTGTTTAATAAGATAAAGTCAGGAGATACTGATGAGTGTATCTAGGACTGCACAAATATTATTGTATGAAATATATTAATCTTTTTGTTTGCCATCATAAACAGTTTCTGAGGGGTTGAAATATATACCTTCTGTCTGTTGTCTTTTGCTTTCACATACTGGATGCATGTGACCTCATGACCCTTGCTATCAGTGAAGTAAATGAACCATTTCCATGTCTTCGGACGCATTGGGCATATAGGGCTAGACCTGTATTGTTTTATTGCATGTCTGGATACTAAAAGCCTGTTACGTGCTCTGGTATCCATCAGTTATCTTTGATGTTCATTGATTTGATTCAAGAACCGACATCACAGCACTCGGGGCATTCCCATAAGCGCTCCGTCCCCATCTTCAGCAGCCAGCAAAGAGTTCCAATATGAGTGGTGCCAGTAGTTCATTTTCCAACACACTGGCATACCCCGGTGAAAAAATCCAGATAATACTCCTCACCCGTGTCCTCCGCAGCGAAGCATGCCACTCTGCACGAAGCAGACCTGTTTTGATCTTCCTCAGCATGCTTTCTGGATCAGTTACAATCACGATATGTGTGTGTGTGTGTGTGTGTGTGTCGTGTTCTCTAGCCAGCAGAAAGCTGCAGTGACTGCATCCACCTCCATTCTTAAGCTGGATGTTGTGGTATCATATGCTAGGCTCTCCTGCACCAAACGTCGACCATTAACTTTTGATTAGAAGCCCCAAGCACTTCTTTTGCCTCTTGACACTGAACTGTATGTGTAAATGATCAAATCCTCTACGAGCATTATCTTTAATTAATTGCTAAATTTCCACCTCTGTGGCACCTGCTGGCCAGTCTCTGCATTCCCGGCTCAGCGTGATTATGACTCTACACAAGTCTGACTGTTCAGGTGGCACTTTGACCCACTTTTTTCCTCGCCTAATGTTCTCAAGGATGCAAACCTGTCCGATTGTGTCTTCTGCCTTAGCCATCCATGACCTCCCTCTTATCAGCTTCTGACCCTTAACTGCACCGAGAGCTTCATGCAGAGGATGGTCTGTGTCTGCAGCTACCCTGAGATTGACTTCGGCTGCAGCACCTTGTGCCTACCTGCAACCGTCGGCAAACCAAGGATGTATCGCATACACACCACTGGGGTGTCTCTGGTGCAACCCAGAATGACCCGCATAGCCGCATTCTGAATGCGCTCTAGTTTGCCCATCCGACTCTTTGAGACGGTAAGCTGATGATGTTCATTAATATGGAGGGCAACAGTTTTCTCTCTTTGCCATGGGCACTGCATGGCCGGGGTATTAGATATACCTTTTCATGACATGATTTTGTTAAAACATTAATTAAAGCATTTGGAATGTTAACGTTGGTAGTTGTTTGAAGTTAAATTGTGTTAGTGCAAATTTATTTGCTCCATTGTTTACAAATGAAACTAATTTTCAGCTGAAACAGGTGGTGAGACTGTCAAAGGCTAAGGAATTTCATATGTCTGAAGAAGAAAAGAAGAAGCGGAGAAGAATGAGGAGGGTAAGCATGTGTTTCTTTTTTTTTTGTTCAGATAGATAATATCTGTTCAGTGAACAAGCTGCTAAACTTGCCAATGGGACTACTAAGGTAGGTGGATGAGCAATGGACTTACTTCTCAAGAATACTCTGTATTCTCTCTCTGTATTTCTCTGCGAGACATATGATGGCAAGAATCAAGTTGTGATCATGCTGCAGGTACAGCATATCAAAAATGGTAGGGCCTGACTATAGCAGTAAGCAGGAAACTAGAAGAAAATAATAAACTATCACAGAACTGGGAGGAGTAGTGGACCAAGACCACATAATATAAGTACTTTGAAAAAAGTTAGGTGTGTATCCTTTACAGGACTTTGCAAAACCAACCCCAGCATTTTTTAGCTGCTGTGTTTTTTTTTTTTCTAGACAAATTTTACATTCAGCAGTTTGTCATTGCTTTCTGGACGGTCAGCTGTCAGTTCCGCTGTTGAAACCAACGCAAGACAAATCGTCCGCAGCTGGGATCGAACCCGGCACCCCAGCATTACAAAGCCTGTTTTGACAATATGAAAATTATTGTATGCAGTTTGAGTACTTTATGAATTGTTTTTTAACTTCTGTGCCATGAAAGGAAGGTAGAATATCCTTAATGATATGTCATTCATTGCATATACTCTTTTAACCTTATATTGTCCAAAAACCATATTTTGAACGACTTCCAAGCTTGATAAATCTGGCCAGCTTGTACTTGACTTTGTACTTCTAACTTTCATTTTGGTAAGGAAACACAGTCACATTTTAATCAGTACTGTCACACAACACCAGATCTTTTTGATTTGTGTCTTATAATTTTTTTTTTTTTTTAGAAAGAAAATGGTGATGTAGAACCAAGGTCACCCACAACACCTGTGACACCGACAACACCTTTTTTTTCATCACAGTTATCATCGCCAGCAACACCAGCCCCAAATGGTAAACAGTTTTTCTGGAACTGCTTTTGGTGTTTGAGCAAACCAAAGCTTAATTGTTTGTCTGTGTGAACCAAACTGATTCCCCTTCCTGTTTATTTTTTATTTTTTTGCTGTTTGGACTTGTGATGTGGAAAACTTTATAGAAGGTAATAATGTATTTTATTTACAAATATACCTAACAGGTAGAGTAGCCTTAAGACATATAACTTAGTTTTGGCTTAGATAGTCTCATTTGCGGTTTTTATTGTACTAACTTTTACATTATGACTAATTTAATAGAATTCAGAATGTTTAATTATGAATAATATGAAAGTAATACAGAAGGTATTACTGTATTTTATTTACAAATATACCTAACAGGTAGATCATCCTAAAGACTTATAACTTAATTTTTACTTAGTCTGATTTGCGGTTTTTATAATACTTTGACATTATGACTAATTTAACAAAATTAATCATGATTAATTTCGCCAAAATGATCATTACATAGCAGAGTTTTGTGGAATGATTATTGTGTAGTCTATTACATTTTAAATTAATAAATTTAGACTTTTTGTACAGCGTTTGTAGATTTTATTACAGTGATATTTGTTCATATCACTGGGTTTGATAGAATTCACATGTGTTAAATTCAACACATAACAAAACACAGTCAGGTTTCTTAAAGTCTGTAAATTATTGGCATAGTCATTTATTAGAGTATTAGTTCATAAATTCACAAAGTGAGTAACCTTGTACAATGTTTTTGATATTTTGTCTCACATTAAATCATAATTTTAATATTTTAACAAATATGTTATCAAAATGACCAGGGGATAGTGATATATAAGGTGATACATGCCTCAGTTAAGTGAAAATAAGATTTATCTTTACCCTATGATCCGTTTTACAGAGTTCCAAATTATTAACTTCAAAAAAAAAAAATAACACTATGAAGTGAAAGTTTTATGTATAAAGATTACTGACACAAATAACTAGTAGAATTTTAGTTCGTAAATTTATAAATGCATAAAGGCATTAGTGGATAACTAAGATAAGCAGATTTATATGCCTCAACAAGGTGAACGTTTTGATGAGTTAACCTGAATAATAATAATTGTTCATTGAAAGCTTCTAGTTTGTCATCATTATTTGCTTTGTATTGTGGCATTGTTATATACTTTATTACATCATGATGCTTTGTTTCCACAACCAGGGGGTAAATGAAGGTAAAACAAATTTATAGACATGAATTCAGTAATCAGGAAATGATACTTACTATTAACATCAAATAAACATGTGTACACAGGTATGTAGGGAAAAGGATTTTGATCATCCATTTCATCTTTTTAGCATACACTAGCTATGATCTGGTAATCTGGTAATCCTAGTTTCAGCTTCATAGCAAAAGGGTCACCCTAAAGTTGCTCCGCTCCTGTGCCAACAAAAAACACATGTAGCTCACAGTGTCACGCCATGCACTCAACTCAGAAGCTGGGCGATGAAACTATATCCTTCCAGTCTACAAATGGAGCAAAAATGCAACGGCCACCGTCTGGCAGAAAAAAAAAGAAAAAAAAAACAATAGGTGGCCGTGCCTTGCGTCCATTTTGACCTGAAGCATTATATGAGGGTTAATAAACGGTAACCCCAGCAGTACCCTCATTATTAGCTGGGGAAGGGACTTAAAACATTACATCCACCAGCAGGCGTCGCCCCTACAACGACCTGCCTGCCTTCGTTAACGACTGTTTCCCCAACAGCCATGCAGTTCTTTGGCACGAAGGAGACACCTTGAACTTGGGTTTCGGACTGCCGACTCCCTACAAGATGTTATTTTATGTTTTGTTATCACAATTGATGTCACTGCACATTGGGCATATCCATGCGTGCTCAGTTCTCCGAAGCAGCAGCTAATCCAAAGTACTTCTACTAATTGTCCCCATGAGAAGCTGGTTATATTGTCTCCTTTCTCGGCCTCGAAGACGGCAGAGACGTGCATCACCATGCTTAACTCCCATGTCACGCAATCGTGTTAGTGTCAGGAATTCCTCATTCTCCACTAGTCCAGTTCGTACAGCGTTGGCGATGTCTTCTCTGTCCATGCTTTTTCCCGCAATCATCAGTGCAGTGCTTGCCAGTTGGTCCGCTCGCTCATTTCCCTTCACGCCCGCATTACCCGGTGTTTAGATCGAGGTTACGGAGGTTAAGTGTCATTTCCAAATGCTTTCTATCCATTCAGAGCGCATACTGCCTGTTTCTATCTTCTGGAGCATATTCATTGAGTCTGAGACAATTACTGCCTGTATGGCGGTTTGCTCAGATACCCATGCTAAAGCTCTAGAAGCAGCAGCTATTTCCATTGTCATGCTTGACGTGGTTGTCTGGTAAGCACTGCTGACCTCATGTATTGTTTCCCCCTTTTTTGCACTGTGTATGCCCATGCTGACCTTGATCAGCGTTTCACGGATCCATCTGTGTAGATGATGATATCTTCTGGGTCTGAATGCTGATCTATCAGTTCCCTTACTTCTGTGTCTACGGCCGCAGGAATTTGATCCCTGCAGTATCCAAGTGTGATGACCACCTTAGAGATGCCATGCTTGTCTGCTGGTGTATTCGTCCATTCTTTTCCGTGATTGATCACGTCTAGGTCACATACCTGTGGGATTAAATCCTCAGCCTTTGCCATCCAAGAGCGGCCTCTTTTGAGACACGTTCCTTTTGTGTCGTGTATAGCTTTGTGCAATGGGTGGTTAACATCTGTCGATACCCTCATGTAAGCCTGCTAGTCATCGTCAGCAAATCCAGGACATAACACATGGCGTTGCAGGAGGTGTTTTTTGTGCAGCCAAGTATGAGTCTCATGGCCTCATTTTGTACTCGGTCCAGTCTTTCTAGCTGGGTTTTGCTGACAGTGAGGAGGACCAGACCATAGTCAATGACGCTAAGCACAAGCCCTTGATAGAGAAGGAAAAGTAGGCGTTGTTCAATATCAGCTGCTGCTAGCACCTTGAGTGCTGTCAAACCTTTCCTGGCTCTAAGTATGATGTTGTCTACATGGCATTTGTATGACAAGCATCTGTCAAATGTCATGCCCAGGTATTTCATGGTGTCCGTTCTCTCGATGTCCACACCACAGCTGCTTACGACTGGCGTTGGTGTACTAACTAGCTATGAACTCTGGTGTAGTAAAGTTCTGGTTATTCCTCTTTTTGGCAGATACACTCTGACCTTTAAGGAAACACATCTAATTAGTTGCCTTTTACAACATGTTTATTGCGGAGGGGGGGCATGGAGTCTGCCTCTAGTGCTAAAGGTTCCGGGTTCAATACCTGGTAAGGGCTGGGATTTTTTTTACGTGGACTTCGACTTCTAGTAATTCCCTGTGGTCTCTGGGTAGTGAGACCAGGCGCCAGTGTGCATTGTTGCACACGTTAAAAAAAAATCCCTTGGCAGTTGGGCAAAATTTGGAGTTAAAAATCTACCCAAAGTATTTCAGGATCCTTGCCGGTGCTACAGAGTCTGTGCACAGTGCTGAGCTTCTTCAGACTCAGACTTGAGTTAGAAGAAGAATGGAGCACTTATGGGTTACTACCCGTGGGCCATGATGTTGATCCATTGTTCGAACCTCAAAAATCTCAGACATATTTATTGAGGGTGGGGGCAGTGAGTCTTTTTTGTTATTCCAAAATCCATTTTATTTCATCACCATTAAAAGCTGAATACACTGACTTATTAGAGATTTCCATATTATCATGCAGGAGCTGGTTAAGTTCATTGCCAATAAAAAAAATTTCTAAGCAGAAAGCCTCTTTTTGTCTTGGTTAGCTAAGTTTTTTTTTTAAATAATCGGTTAGATTTTGCAGCTTAAATTTTATAAGGAATGATGAAACCATTCTCACTCTCTTAGTTACATTTTACAAAATACATAATAGGTTGCAGTGTAACTTTTCTTTGTTTCCTTATTGAGCTGTGGTAACATGTGGACAGGTCATTTCATCCCATATCACTATGCTGGAGCTATAGTAGATAAATGTGTTTTAACAGAGAGATTAGATTTACTGTAGAAGTACATTTTTTAAGTTTAGAAAGTTGATATTACTAGATGCTTTTATAAACTGTTACCAAGCTAAATATAAAAAAGTAGCAGTAGCAATCAGGGTTTCAGTTTCACAGCAAAGGGTCACCCTATAATTGCTCCATTTATGTGTCAGTAAAAAAATCACTCGAAATACCTCCTCACTCTCACGTTTAAAAACTAGTGAACAAACAAACAATCCTGGCAAAATCCAGAAACACACACACACAGTAAATGCATATGGCAGCCGCTACAAGTGCTGACAATATTTGCCACCAAAATTGCAAGTTATTGTTTATTAAAGTAGTCAGTCTCAAAATGATGGTCATACACGCAGTATTATTGCATAAGGCACTTAGCCAGGTTGAATGCAAACCAACCAACAGCCATTTTCTGAATATCATAACACAAACTGCTGCGGACACAAGCAAAAGGCATTCCATAGGAAATGCACAGCTCACAGTGTTGCACCAGGCACTTAACTCAGTAGCTTAGGCGGTGAAATGTCAAGTTAAAATAAATCGCAATTCATGTAATGAGTTAGCTAAGGTCTCCATTTAAAGACTTTGTAACCTGACATGAGGGTTACCATAAATATGTGGTTTTTGTTTCATTTGTTTTGTTAATTGGAAGATCTAACCTTCTTCTATTTTTCACTTTGCATGCTTACAGCAGAATACAGTGACCTGTGATCTTGATGAAGGCTTTTCATCCTACATTGTCAAAGTATAAATATATATGTATATTGTTTATTTCCCTGGTATAGATGTTGTATTTATCTTTAATTTGGCTGCTGGCACAGAGAAAGGGAAGGGTATTGGGATAATAAAATAAAATACGTATATGGCTTGGCTTGGCGCCCAGAATTGCTGTTGCATGTTTGTTTCATTGTTTAAATTAATTTCAAATATTGATTTAGCAACAGTAATGGATGCACATTT